AATAAAATAAAATAATAAAATAAAATAAAAATTAAATAAAATTAAAATAAAATAAAATAAAATAAAATAAATAAAAAAGGAAAGCATGTAGTGTCTTCAAAAAAAATTAAACATAGAGTTACCGTATGATCTAGCAATTCTACATATATCCCAAAGAATTGAAAGCAGGATCTTGAACAGATATTTATACCTCCATGTTCATACATAGCAGCATTGTTCACAATAGTCAAAGGTTGGAAGCAACCCAAATGTCCATCCATAGAAGGATGAATGATACACAAAATGTGGTATATGCATACAATGCAGTAATTATTTAGCCTTTAAAAGAAGGAAATCCTTTTTTTTTATTTTTATAAATTTATTTTTTATTGGTGTTCAAGTTGCCAACATACAGAAGAAAAGAAGGAGATTCTGACGCATGCTACAACGTGGATGAACCTTGAGGACATTATAGTGAGTGAAATAAGCCCGGCACAAAGGACAGATACGGGATGATTGTACTTATACGAGGTCCCCAGGGTAGTCAAATTCACAGAGACAAAATAGAATGGGGGTTACCAGAGGCTGGGGGGGGTGGGAAGGGAGTGAATGCTTAATGAGTGCAGAGTTTCAGTTTTATAAGATGAAAAGAGTTCTGTGGTGGTCGTTGCACAACAATGTGAATGTACTTAGCACTGCTGAACTGTACAGTTGAACATGGTACATTTATTTTTAGTGAGTTTTACCACCATTAAAAATATACGTCAGCCTCTGGCAAGAGAAACAAAAGCAAAATTAAACTATTGGGACTACATCAAAATCAAAAGCTTTCGTACAGAGAAGGAAACCATCAATAAAACAAAAAGGCAACCTACTGAACGAGAGAAGATATTTGCAAATGATATAACTGATAACAGGTTAATATCGGAAATACATAAAAACTTAGACAACTTAACCATAAATAAATAAATAAATAAATAAATAAATAAATAAATAAATAAATAAAATAATCCAATCAGAAAAGGGCGGAAGAACTGAATAGAGGTTTTTCCAAAAAAGACATATAGATGGCGAATAGACACATGAAAAGATGTTCAGCATCACTCATCATCAGGGAAATGCAAATTAAAACCTCAATGAGATATCACCTCGCAGCACTCGGAATGGCTAAAATCAACCACACTGGAAGCAACACGTGCTGGAGAGGATGTGGAGAAAAGGGCACCTGGTGCAGATGGTGGGAATGGGAATCAGGCAGCCACCGTGAAAACAGGGTGGAATTTCTTCAAAAAATCAAAAATGTAATTACCATGTGGCCTAGTAACTGCACTACTGGATATCTACCCAAAGAAAACAAAAATACTAATTTGAAATGATAGGTGCATGCCTGCATATGTCTCGGCCTCCTTCACATTACGGTAGCCAGGCCACAGAAGCAATTCACGTGTCCGCACGTAGATGAACGGATTCCGAAGATGGGACATACGGAATAGCACTCGCTCATCAAAAAGAATGAAATCTCATAGTTTGCAACAACCCAGATGGATCTAGAGAGTATAATTCTACGTCAGAGAAAGACAAACACCATGCAATTTCACTCATAGGTGGAATTTAAGAAACAAAATAATGACCAAATAAAGAAACAAAAAAAAAAAAAACAGACCAAGAAGAAAACAAAGTCAAATACAGAAAACAAACTGGTGGTTGGCAGAGGGGAGTGGGGGGGAGGGGGAGCAGTGAGGTAGGTAAGGATCAACCTGGTGAGCACGGAGGGATGCACAGAGTTGTCGCCTCGGCGTGTTGTGCACCTGAAAGTAGCATGACGCTGTACCCTATATGGGAAGGAGGGAGGGAGGGAGGGAGGGAGGGAGGAAGGGAGGGAGGGAAGGAGGGAGGGAAGGAAGGAGAGAGGGAAGGAAGGAGGGAGGGAAGGAGGGAAGCGTTCTTTTCCCTCCTATTTTCAAGCAACCCCAAGCGTTATCCTTCACCCGACGGTAGACAGTGGGGCCACAGGCAGAGTGCGGCCAGGAGAGAAGGGGGGGGGGAGGCTGGAAGGCAGTCCTCCCGGAGGGGGGCACAGTCACCGCCAGGAATCAGGACAGTGTCCCCCTCCATGTGGCAGCTGGAGGACAACCGCTGGCCCGGAGAGGAGGTGAGGGGGGCGGGCATCCGGGGAAAGCAGGGGCAAGGGCCGGACCAGGGAAGGGCAGGAGCAGAGGCTGAGTCCTCCCCCCTCTGGCCATGGGAACCTCCTAGGTGGCAGGCACTGGCCCCCCGGGCCCCTGGGTGGCACCACGACCCTGGCCCCCGGGACCCCACGCGGAAGTGCAAGCGAGGAAATGCACACACAGCGGCGCCACACAGAAACGCAGCCCCAGCAGGACCGCGGCGCATGCTTCTGTCTTCGACGACGAAATCAGGGATGGCTGGAGCGACCTTGGAAAGTCCAAACGACACACAAGAGAACTGAGGATCCGCACCACCGCGCCACTTACAGAAAGAACATCTACCCTGTTTGTTTTGAAACTTGCTTTCTTTCCACCAACAGAGTGAGCGAAGTTTTCCATGAGATGCTCGTGGGCCGTGATGTGCAGGGGGCCCAGGCTGTGTCGCGGAGGGGTCGGTGCTCCCCGCTGGCCTGGGGTCACCGCCTGGCCTGGGGTCACCGCCCGGCCCACTGCAGCCCGCACTGCCGGAGTGGATGCTCGGCGGCACCCCGGCGTCCACCTCGGGGACCCTGTGGCCGAGACACAGGTCAGGAGGCGGGCCGTTGCCAGTAAGAGCGGCCGCGTGGCCCGAGAACCGGGGGGCACAAGCCCAGTCCCTGGGGAGGGTCTAAGGAACCGGACCCGGTTTCTCCAGCAGCGTCATTTCCACTCTGGCTCTTACTCCCCTGGGACGACGCGAACCTGGCACCAACTCAGCCTCTGTGTCGCCTCCTCCCTCCAGTGGCACAAGCCCGGCGGGGGCACAGCGGGGCGAGCATGGCCAGGGCCCTGGCCCTCGGGGTGCCCGCCGCAGTGGTACCCTAGGGGTCCAGCCGGCAGCCTTGGCTGGCCTGGGCTCCCCTCGGGGCCTGTGCCCTGCTGCCCTGCCGGCCGCTGTCCTCCGGGGCACAGACGGTGAAAGGCTCCCGGACAGCGGTGGCCCCTGTCCCGGAGCTGCGGCAGCCCTTGCAGCCCCTCCTCGTTCTCCTCCTCTGTGGCTCGGAGCACCTGCATCCGGCCGGGCCGGGGGCCGGGAAGGGTGACGGGGTGGCGGTGCCCAAGGCCCAGCTGCCCCCGGTAGCCTCGGCGGCAGACACAGGCACCGGTGGCCCCCTCCTCCCTGACGGTGACGACGGCCCACGGCCCAGCAGTGGCTCCTCTGGGGCCCACACGGGAGGCCAGACACCGACATCCGCCGCCGGAGGCCCGAGCACTTGCAGACAGCGAGGGTGCGTGGCCAGGGCCCAGCAGGGAGGCCGAGGCTGGCCGGGTGTCGGGGGGCCTCCTGGGAGGGAGGGGAGCCCCAGGGACCCCGGAGTTGGGCACCGTGGGCTGCACAGTGGGGTGGCCAGGAGGACGGCTGGAGGCTCCAAGCACCAGCTATGGGGCGCGGGACACACAGGAGGGGACCCGGCCTTGCTGATGCTGCTCCTGGAAGCCTCCATCCACTGAACGCACCAGCTCCGGGGAGAAAACGGAAAGTCCGCGTCCACCCGGAGCAGAGCAGCAGCAGCTCTCGGACACAGCAAGTGCCCGTGGTCGGGGTTCCCCAGGCTGGGGACCCGCTCCAGGCCAGGGATAGAGGGGCGACGAGGCCGTGGCACAGACGGTCTGCCCGCCAGCGGCCGGGGAGGCCTGCAGGTGCCACGTGCCCACGGGCCCTGGTCCGTGACCCTCCACCAGGCCGGCAGGCAGCTGCGCTGAGCCGCTTAGACCAACCTAGAGAGAAACGGGGTGTTATGGCTCCTCGAGTGGCTTTCCAGAGACGCGATGCGGAACGTGGTGACCGATTTCTGGTGTCGAGAATCACCGCCGGTGCATGCACATGCAAGTATTTATTTGTGCAAGTAATGGTTGCCGAAAGGAGAGTGAACCCGACACAGTCGAGCCTGCGCCTGTGCCTGAGGACAGGCACCCGAGGGAGGTGTGAACTTACTTGAGCGCCAGTCCAAGGGCTCAGAATCTCTTTGAAATCCTTTTTTAGGCCTAAAGAATCGACAGATCATGGTTCATGTGCAGTGACTCCGGCTCTTCGGTACCAGCTGAACAGTTAGAGCCCCAGCCAACAGCATGTAGTTCATATTCCCACCTGCTCAATTTAATTTAGAAAATCCAAAGCTATTTAAAATCCGATCTATGGAACCGTTTAGAAAACCCAGAATTCTCTAAGCTGATAGTCTGGGACTCCTGGGTCACCAGCGCTTCTGGCAGCTCCACGAAACCGCTGGCGGCAGGGCTCCCGCCGTCCCCCCCAAGTGCAGCCCCGACCCCCGAGGGCCCCACTAGACCTACAGGCCCTCCGTCGGCTCTCTCACTGTGGAGTCTCACGTTATAGTTCACATTCCGGATGCTGGTTAACCTACATCCCCTCCTCTTTAACAACAACGACAAAATCAAAGAAGTCATGAATATAAAAGGAAATATTAACAATTTCCTTGGGTCGAGTAGACCTTTTAAAACACACAAGGGAGAAGAAGGCAAGGATTGTTCAACACGCTCCTTAGATGGGTTTCCGTGGGCTGGAGAAGCTGCCCTACGCTGCCGGGACCAGTGTTGCCTTTCTTTTCTTTTCTTTCTTCTTTCTTTCTTTTTTTTTTTTTTTAAAGCCTAGCAGAGCACTTTGAGATCTGATTTTACGAACACATATGACAACCAGGAAGGAAGCAGGCTGCCGAAGCAGCCTCTTTGAAAGAACACAACAGAAGGAGGAAGTATTTTAAAAGCAATCAAGATGAGTGTTTAATAACACACACACAGCTCCTCACAGATGACTTTTTTAAAAAGCCTTTATTTAACAACTACATGAAACAACAGATTATCACAAACGGCGAACTGTTTTGAAAAGCAGTCTACACCAAGATGCACGACATTGTTATGTACAATCATCTTCTGCAGAGCGATTTGCTTCTTCTCTAGACACCCTTGCCCGGGAGGCCAAGAGGCCGGGCCCCAGGAGGGAACCAGCGTAACCCCGGGGGGACCCACCAGAGCAGCTCGTCCGGGCCACTGATACAGCGGGGGAGGAGGGGCGGGTGGCGGGCCCAACACCCACCAGTTCTTCCCACCTCGGACACTAAGGCACAATGGGAGTCCACACTGGAGGACGACTGTCCGCTGGACTCTTGCTCTTGTCCACATCCTCTCTCTCTCCTTCACTTCGACAACACTCGGCATGCATGCTTTCCTAAGAGCAGTGGAAACAAATACCGGGAAAATCGACCCTCACCACACTCATGTGAAAAGCCATCTGACCCCAGCTGACGAGAGCCGGGTGAGACCCACCTTCATGGATGTGGGGAGACCTCAGCGATGGAACAGCGAGGAAAGTCCATTGCAGGACGACACCTACAGCAAGACAGCCCTAATGCAACATTTAAATAGATGCCAGGCGACCACAAACTCGGGAGATACAGACTAAAAATATAGACCTCAAGGAAGCTCATTGCTTCCAGAAAAACATTCACCTGTGGGGAAATTGGAGAAATGTGATCAAAGAAGAATTAAGGGGGCTTTGAACTAAAAAAATATTTGCTACCAAAAAAAAAAAAAAAAAACCAACTGCAACAACCAATGTTCAGTGGTGCAGCCGACACAGGAGAAAGGCTTCTTTCGGTGCGTGCCCACCTGTTGCCCAGCCTCTCAGGCAGGAGCCCATGCCAGGTTCTTCACCCTGATTTCTTCATGATTCATTCCTTAGCACACACTCTGGATTCCTCCAAATTAAAAAAAAAAAAAAGTAGATGGAAGTAAGGATGAGAAAAGGGACAGCAGCCCAAGCCAAGAGCATTTTCCAGGAAATGTAACTCCAGTGTTAAAGTAGCTTAATATCAAAAAAAAGAAAAAAGAAAAGAGAAAAGAATGCACAACAGAATAGAAATAAGCTTCTGTTTGGAGAATTCAGAAGACACAGCACTCCTGGGATTGACACCAGGGAACTTCTCTGAAGCGCTGGCGTGGGTTAAATATTCTCCAGGGAGGAGGGGCCGCATACACTGGGGCCTGTGTCACAGCGATTCCTAATTTTGCCTTCAATTTCCCCTTAGGATAATATACCCTAAAACACTTTGCATCTATAAGATGTATAAATTACTGCAATTCACAAAATATAATCCGCTGTCCACGCATATTCACTCCTAGCGGCTGGTGAAATTCCTCGCTTGGCCTGCACGGGTGGGGTTCTGCGAGGACAAGGCCTCCTGAAAGGGTGAGGTAAATGCATCCTTAGGTTGAAAGAGCAGCTGCATTAAAGTGGCTGCAAGATGATCCTAGGAGGTGGTTCGTTTTGGTTTTTTTCTGAGTTGATGTAAACCTACAGAGAAGTGAAGCGTATTGGAAGAATAAGTGAAACTCTTCTTGCAGATATTTCAAGGGAGGAATTTGGGCTGGCGATAAGGAAGACGATGCACTTCTTTTTTTTTTTTTTTTTTGGCCTGTATATACTGTTTACATTTCCTGTAGTTAATATGTATCATGTTACCATTAAAAAGTCCTTGGGCCGCCCGGGTGGCTCAGTCGGTTGAGCGTCTGCCTTCGGCTCAGGTCGTGACCCCGGGGTCCTGGGATCGAGCCCCACGTCAGGCTCCCTGCTCAGCGGGTAGCCTGCTTCTCCCGCTCCCTCTGTCCCCCTCTCCCCGTCCTCTCTAAGTAAATAAATAAAATCCTTTTTAAAAATCCTCCTTTTTAAAGGTTAAAAAAACGGCACTCCAATTGCTTCATTGCTTACCAAATTGGATAAAGGCCATAAATAATCTGTCTAACGTAAGGGGCACAGCTTGTTGAATGATTTGGAAATACAGGCTGGAATAAGAGCGGCATATATTTGAGAATTATTAAGTCTTTTGCTGAGCCTGAAAGTAAGAGCAGTTTTTCATAGTATAATAAAAACACCAGTTGCCAGCATCAGTCTAAACATCTGTGCTTTTCCAAAACAAGCAACAAGGAAGTGACCAGGTTCACTTAAGCAAGTAGAGATCTTGGTGATTCTATAAAAAGATGTATTTGGAAAAAGCCCAGTAAAAGCCCTGTCAAACCATATTGGCATGAGGAAGCACATAATATACAAAATAAGCAAAAACAGCCCACTGAGTCTGCAGTTATGCAATCAGTGAAATCCTGTCATCATCTTTCCTAACAGAGTTCACCAAATTGAAAAGCATCGGCTCCTCCTCTTTAGTGTTGTCATGGATAACTAACTGATAGCCAAACAAAACAAACAGGGTAAGAGGGGGAAATGTCACCGAGTTTCAAAAATATATCTTCAGTACTTGGATTGTTATCCTTTTCTTCTTTTTTAAGAAATAGCTTTAGCCATGATTTCTATTCTATAGAGAATAGAGTATAGAGAATAGAGAGACAAAAAAACAAAACAAAACAAAAAAACAAAAACTATCTCAAGTACCCATTACCAGACTGTAGGCCTTACTAAAATACACTAATCAAGGAAGCCCTAATGCTTTTTTGGTTCCAGAAAATACCAATTGGTTCTCAGGGGCGCCTGAGGAGAGAGAGAGCAAACGGGGGGCGGGGGGGGGGTGAGACAAGGCAGGGAAGCCGCGGGGCCAGGCCCAGGCCCGGGCGCAGCGGGTTAATGAGCCAGCCCGAGGCTGGAGGCACCGTGGTCCAATCCCAGCCAAAGATTCTCTAACAGCAAGCACTGTCTACAAGAGCGACATCTTCTATGGGCATCAACATGTTCCTTTTGTGGGCAGAGTCACCTCAAATTTAGACATTAGTTCCCTGAGTAATAGTACGACACTCGTGTGCTTCTATCCCTCCAGTTAGTGGTCAACACTGAAACACAAGTTTTCTCAGTTTTCAAGCAACAGATAATCCACATCAAATTAAAGATAGTATTTAAGTCAATGTAAACACATCCTTTGGTCAAGGTTCACAGTGATCCTCAGAGGCGGCAGTCTGCGGGAGACCCTGAAAACCGCGTTTCCTTAGGAATGAGCTCCCTTAGACGGAGCCGGGGTGGGTTTTTTGTTTTTTTGTTTTTTTTTTTTTTTTTTTACGCTCATTCTTGCCGAGATTCTCCTCAAGGGCTGAAGTCCCAATCGCCAGGTTTCTCAAAAGGAAAAGAGGGAGTTCGGTGAGCTGTTCCTGGGAAAGTCAGATATTTACAGTGAAAGGCCGCCCCTTGTCAGGCCTGGTCTCACTCTTGAATGGAGGAGTGGCGCATCGACCGGTGGTAATCCTCCGGGCTGCTGATGTGCTCGGGGAGGTCGTAGCCCCGCAGGAAGTGTCCACTGTTTTGCTGAGCAAAATAGTACAGCTGTCTGGCGAGTAGAGGTTCGACCTTTAATAAGAGATTTTAAGAAGACATTATTGAAACACGCTTTCGAGCGCCCTGTGACTGGCTCATCGTTAATGACTCCGTGTTTCAAGGACGGTGGAGTCCGGGGTAGGCGCCCACTGGTCACAACACCGTGGGGAAGTCGCTCCCGCAGGCGCTCGCTCACACATCCCAGGCGACAAGCCCTACTGAGCTCTGAGTTTCGACTGCATTAACGTCAGGGATGGTGCTTTTCAATGAACAGCCGCTTAAAATTTACGTTTGGCTATGCCTAAGCAAATGAGGGACATGACCAAACTAAAAGGCCATTAGAGGTGACTAGTGAAGTTGGAGCTAACTCAGTATGATTAAGGCCAATGCATTTCTCCGCGACCACAGCTTGACGGGGACGCAGGTGCAAATCCTGAGCAATTTACAATTCCTGGACCACCTAGATAATCCACAGATTTCTAAGGGAAAGGAAGAAGAAAGGGGCAAAATCTATGCAAACAACAACACTGCTATTATGGGGAAAGAGAGGCTAATTGAACCCAAATTCATCTAGTTTGGCTATTTGTGTGGTTCATAGTCCCAAAAAAAAAAAAAAAAATTCAGCTTTCAGCATGTCCTTAATTTACAACATCTAAGGAAACAGAATACTTTGTTAATCAATTCCGCTATTAAATTGAGCCTTTATGTTATTCGATATATACAAACTTAAGCATAATTCATATGAGATGCTTGAAATAAATTAAATCCATAATAAAAAGGAGTAGAACTCGTGGTGTACACCAATCCATCTTTCTTTTCCACCCCAGACACCTAGATTCCAGGGACCATTGCTTGAGGAACCCATCACTGCCTGATTCAGAGGATGCCTGGTGCACCCAGAACACCCTTAAAATCTGGCTGGTGCAGGAGTTTTTCACCAACTTTTGACATGTTATTTGTCAATACCAAGTTTATTTAGTTATTTAACAGTCCTGGGTGTTAACAAGATATTAATTATTGTATCAATTACTGGAGAGAATTCATGAAAAAGCCCTAAAAATCTACAAGACTATATATATATATATATATATATATATATATATATATATATATTTTTTTTTTTTTTTGGTTGGTTGGTGGATTGGTTTTTGATTTTTCAAATCAAGAGGAGGATTATGGGTTTACAATTAGTGTTTTATTTTCAGTTTTTCAACAAAAAAAAAAACATTAGGAGTGAGTATTCTTTATTTCTACAATATGACCTGAATATTTATATTATTGAGTATGATTTCTTTTACCTTTTTGTCTGGGCCCATTAATGACTCTCAAAGGTAGGTAGCAACGTGAAGTTCTCAAATTCAAAACTCTTAGGTATTCAAAGCTCTGTTTTCTGTGGCAAATTTATTCCAAATGCTATCTCTATAAATCCTTTTTTCTTTTCTATTTTATGAAAAAAAGGTGTTTACTTGCTGCAGTCGAACCTATTTCAAACTCTGCTAGAGAACACTGGTGGTCTGAGCTACTTAAATTCCTTGACAGAGTTAGCTTCCTCCAAATAACACATGGCCCTCGGTTTCCACTAGTTAAATAATGTCTAAAAATCCAGAAATAAAAGAGGATTTGGGAAACATTTGGGGGAACAGCAAAATACTTAAGCTTCCCATTTGGAAAGAGCTTCTCCGTTGAGTGGAGGTCAGCTAGACGGCATTTTAAAGGCAATATTAAATATGGAGAATATTAAGGGGACACTTTTATGACCAGTCCTTTTAAATCCTTATAAAACGGGAATAGGACAGTGTCATGATGGGACAAAGAGGCCCACGGTGCAGGTTTGATGAGTAGACATCTAGGGCTGGAAAGAACTTGTGGGTCCCTGGACTCCCAGCACCATTCACTGGGCCATGCTTCCTCCCTTAGGATGTTCCCATCACTTGACATATATTTGTATTTGAGAATTTTCTAAATGGGACCCCACCCCTGATGGAAAATAGGGAAACTGCATCATTCGAATGGGACTGAATACTCACGTGAGCAGTGATGAGCTTCCTTTGCCTCTGAGGATCTGGAAACTCTTCCCCGAAGCACAGAGTTACCTGGAATCTTGGCAGGGGACGGCCATGGTGAGCAAAAGCTTGCAGCTCTAGAGAACCCCACAAGAAAAAGACAGAACAAACGACCCTGATCAGAAACGATCCTTGAACGTGCCGGGTTAAAACGGGAGGCAGAAGCTCACTGCTGATTTTGAAAACTGAAGGAGTGAGTATTCTTTATTTCTCTAAGTGGGTTTCCTAACCTCAGACCCCAATAGAGAATTGCATGTCCACGTCCGTATGTGTGCTTTTCCCGAGACAGCTCTAGGTTTCACCTGATTCTTTATGGGAAATGTGCCCTGCAGATGAAGACTCTTGACTTGTAGCCCTGGAGCCAGGGCAGTGCGAAGGGTAGGAGCAAGGAGTGAAGGCTGAAGGAAAAGGAAAAGCAATGTAGCTACATTGAGGCAAAAGAATAATTTATATAAAGGAGAAATTTCATTAAAAAAAATCAAAATTGGGACGCCTGGGTGGGTCAAGGGTTGAGCATCTGCCTTCGGCCCAGGGCGTGACCCCGGGGTCCCAGGATCTAGTCCCGAATCGGGCTCCCTGCGGGGATCCTGCTTCTCCCTCTGCCTGTGTCTCTGTGCCTCTCATGAATAAATAAATAAAATCCTTTAAAAAATATTTAAAAATAAATAAATAAATAAAAATGTTCTGATTATTTAAAAATGTCATCTCAAAACAGCTGAGCGCTTATAATCCGGTATCTGGGCCAGTCGGGACTTCTCCATGACTCAGGCACCCCTGCAAATGCTTTCCTGTTATCTTGGGGACTGAGCACCAGCTCTGGGCAGCTGCCTCCTGCTTGGCGCGGAGCCTAAACTGTGGGACTTTGGGCTGACTTGTTGCCTGTCTCCTGCGACAGACGTTGCTTTGGAAGGAGAAAGGGGGCAGCCCAGGGGGCTCAGCGGTTTAAGCGACACCTTCAGCCCAGGGCGTGATCCTGGAGACTTGGGATCGAGTCCCAAGTCAGGCTCCCTGCATGGAGCCTGCTTCTCCCTCTGCCTCTCTCTCTCTCTCTCTCTCTCTCTCTCTCTCTCTCTCATGAATAAATAAATAAAAATCTTTTAAAAAAAAAAAAAAAGGAAGGAGAAAGGTAGTGATGAAGCACCCGGCCCCACCCTGGTGGGTGTGTGGACCCTCCAGGCACCCTTCCCCGGGAAGGGCGCGGAGCAGGGAAGCCGCACGTGCAGTCTCTGGCACTGACCCCGGCCCCTCGCCCACGTTCAGGAGGACTCTAAGACTCCAGCTGCTCCTAAGCTTTCCTTCCCAGCAGTTAAATGTTGCGCCTGCAGAGGAAGGACCCGCAGTGCTGCTGCACCTCCTGCAAGCCGAATGCACAGCATCTTGATCAGATATGCACCTTGTGCACCTCCAGGCTCTGCCTTCAGGGGCTGTCCCTAGGAGTCTGCGAATCCTGAATGGGCAGATATCAAAGATCTTCACTGTGCTCCTCAACTGAAGCGAAGTTTCTAACTAACTCACTGGACTGCTTGACTTCCTGCTTTTTTTTTTTCTTCCAGAATTCAAATCAAGCCTAACTGACTCAGTCAGAATGTGTCGCAGGCATTCACACTGCTGAGGCCCGAGCCTCCACCTACACGCGCCAGTCAGAGTGACAAGTCGGCACAGTTCTCTGAAAAAGTCACGCCTCAAATGCTTGATAATACGAGAACATTCTGTGGGAATCCTTGATTATGCAGAAGCTGGTCTGCACAGCTGCAGTGTTTGAGTTCACAGGTTCCTCCCTGAGCCTCAGGGACCACTTCAAGATAAGGGGGTGTAGTGAGCAAAAAGCTCAGCCCTTGGTTACGAGGAACCAAAAACAACCCTTGCTCACAGATAAATGAACCCTGGGCAGGTGAACTGAGCCCGGGGTGCTCGGGGCCGGGCCTCACACCGTGTGCCTCCAGTCCGGGTCCAGCTCTCAGCGCCTGGGACTTGAGGGGCACGTACAGCCTCGTGACATGGGAGGATCTGACCTTCCTAAAACACACGTGGCGAGAAACTCACAGACACCAGTGTCCTTCCTCGGGGACGCCCTGACTAAAGCCCTAGGCCTGCGACTTCTTCCGAGTCCAAAGAGGCCAAGACCCATGGTCTCTGAGGAGACCCAGCGCCCGCGGACCCCTCGGCCTCCGCCGCAGACAGGGGAGGTGCAGACAGGACGGCCCCCAGCAGCCCCCGAGCCGCCCCGGGCTGCCCCCCGTGATCACCACGCCAGGCCCAGCGTGTGCAGAAGTCACAGCGCGGACCTGGAGGCAGTTCTGCTGACGCCGGAGAAAGGGACGTGCAGGCCCGCAGGCCCTTCTCAGCCTGGTGCTGCCACGGGCACTCACAGACCCACGTCTCCCTCTTCCTCTTGTCACACCTTTTGTCAAGGGTCAGTCATATAGGGACATACCCGTTTGGGGGGGGGGGCACCAAAGAGAATTTGGATGAGCCTACACCAATCTGGGGAACCTAAACCCAAAAGGCTGAGCGACTATCAGTCGTACCAAAGCACGCAGGTGCTTCACGTTTCTGTTTTAAATGAATTGAATCAGAAGCGTATTCACGGAAAGGAGAGGGACCTGAAGACCCAAAGACATAGGGCATTTCTGAAAGGTACTTATCAAAGAGTAGCTTAAGGACAGGGCACAGAAAGAGTGGACAGCCGAGAGAACAGCTTTCTCCCCCAAAAAGAGGCTTCATCAATATAGACAACGGCCAAATGGATTCTCTGGATGAAGCTTCAGCACGAATGTGGCCAGTGGTTTCACAAAAGCCAGCCCAGGACTAATTTACTTGTCATGAAGTCAAAACTTACTAGTTTTAGAAAATCTTACTTGAGAAGTGTATACCGTAGAGATACCTCAAAGCCTTCTCATGATTTCCCCTTTGCAAAGCGGGTTCCGCACACTCCCTCCTCGTCCCCCCTGCTGGAGGGCATCTGCACGGGGCACCACATCCCACAGCCAAGAACGCTAATGATACACCTCTGACCCTTATAATTTTCCGAGGGACCTTAACAAATAGTAGCTTGCTGGGATCCCGCTACCAGTAAAGCATGAACCTTCTGCGTCGGTGACTATCGGTTGAATCCCAGAATTTCTAGCTGTCTGCCTGAGCCACAATCCCCCGGAGCAAGCTCCCTTCTCTTCACACGCCTCTGCCAATGGAGAGGAGCGGGTGGTAGAGGCAAAGGTGAGAGGTGAACACACAGGAACCCTATCTCGGATCACGCAGGGTGGGCTCAGGGGCTCCTAGACGGAGGACCTCCACTTGGGGCGGGAGTGACCATCTGTTTGGACCACGGTGGCGGGCACCCCCTCTGTTCTGTGTCTCAGGCTCACAGGCATGGGATGCTCCATTCTAACAGAGAATTTGGCGCGTTACCTGCTAAAAACTGCTGTGTGTCAAAGAGCTTGCAGGTCTGGTCCCTCTCCAGTTTGTTGGGCCTGTCACTGCACAGTGCCAGGGGCCCATCCCAGTAGATCCTGCTCTGGCACAGTCTTTTGGCATAAAGCCCGTCGGGGGCCATCCAGAGGACCACACCCCTCTCCAAGTGGCTCAGAAGTTTCTCGATGTTTTTCCTCTGGCCATTGTCCTCTGGGTAGGGGAACAGGACCTGGTCCAGGTTACTGGCATCATAAGTGTGCCCGTGGGAGATCCGACAGCCTTCTGGGCTCGATGTGGTCAGCTCTTTCACCAGGATCTCCCGGTAGTACAAGCAGATGTGCAGTCGGCAGTCTGCAAACACAGAGATTTCAAGGTCAGTGCTAACGGACCCAGGAGCACTGGACACCCATCAGGATCCCAAACTAAGTGACCAGAACACGTGCGCTTGGGGGGACCCTGGTGTCTGTCCCAGGATATTCCACAAAAACTAGAAAGTTCCAGCTTAAGGAAGTTCAGGAAATGCTGTACGCCCTCATCTCCCTCCCGGAGCCACAGAAAGTAACAGATATTAAAGAAATCCTGCAAGAAACCTATTGAATTTACATGGCCAAAGATTTCTTCTCGTGGAGGGGGATCACGCCTTGCATCGTTTTTCTGCACAATGTATTTGACTTGTGTCAGACACTTTCTGTGTCATTGCTTTAGTGTTGATGCTGGCAGTGATGACAAGAATCGTGTCTAAAATACTAAGGCACGTAGCACTGAACAAAATTCATCTTCGCGCATGGCGATCAGCTTTGATTTTTTTGGAGGAGGTAAAGCCTAAGTTTAATTCCTACTAGCAGAGAGATATAATGGTGTTTCAATAAATAAAAATATTTACATCTGAAACGGCCCTAAACTACCATTATGACGTCACTTACATTAAGATATATATATACACACACAAGTGCACATTGAGGTCTTAGGGAAGGTAAGCTGTAAGACTCTAACAGCAGTGACCTCTGGGTGGTAGGAATGCAAGGTTTTTGTTTTCCAGTTTTGCCTTCCCTATGGTCATGTTAGTTTTTGTGCTGTGTATGTATGTATGACTTGCATAAAAAAATTAATTCATGAGGAAAGAAAAGAATCCATGGAGAAAAAGATATTCTAAGGCTAAAATAACTGCACCATCTATTATATCCATCAGTAAACCCACCTTATGGTGGGAAATTTTCCTTCAGAATATGACCCACAGACTGAAAGGACCAAGCTCGGTCTGCAAAGGGCCCCTTCACCGAAGCACGGAAGGGCTCACGGGCCGGAGCAAGCCATCCGTGACTGTGTGGGACTCAGGAACGGGAATCGCGGCTCGGCCAATGCGCTCGAGGTTGATCATTCGTCTGTATTGTGCATATTCCCAAGAAAGCAACCCACAAAAGCTTCTTATTCCCCAACGGTCGGTTGTGAGACTGAACCCTCATCACTGTCTCTGTCCTCCACTCCAACTCCTGCGGCTGTAAACGCACTAGCTGGGAGAGCTAGTGGACACCCGAGGTGACCCGCAGGGCAGGCCTCATTGCATTTAACGTCCTCAGGAATCACGAGGTCACAGCGACATAATAGCTGTTTACCCCCCACCCTCCAGGCACCCACAGGCACCTCCAGGTCTTAGGTGCTTAAGAGAAGTCTTAGAACGTTTCTAAAAACAAGCACAAGTCTTGCCGCTCAGAAACACCCCCCTTCCGTCACGTAGGACCATGTGAGAAAAGAGGCAGCAATTCTCGTTCAGAGCTGTAGAGCCAGGAAGAGGTAAGTGGTGGACCTGGAAGCAGGAAAGGTACCCGGAATCCCTGCCACCTTGATAATTATTTTATTCCGTCACTGTTTTTTTTTAAAAAAAAAAAAGCCCAAGAGGAAGGGGATAATTCATTCTGAAGCTTAGGCTACTCATGTTTAATATAATTACGCATCTCACTTTAAAACAACCCAAAATACTATACAAAAATAAATAAATAAATATACAGGCAACACATAAGTTTCATGAACCTTGAGGTGCCTTCCTTAAAACAGGTAGGATCTCTGAGCTTGTAGGAATCCTTTTAGAAGTGAAACTCTGAAAGCAGATCTAATCCAAATTTTTCGCAAGACATATCGGATTTCAGAGGAAGAGCGCCACGTCCATTGCTTTCAGGTGCACGAATGTGGCAGAGAGGGGAGCGGGACACCCGTCCCCAGGAGGCCAGACAGGAAGACCTACCTGTGACTAAGCCTGGAAGGATGATCAGCTTTTCAAAATGAGAAACCCTTGTGTATTTTTTCTAAGAGATTATACTACATTGAGAGAATATTGGCTGAAGCGGGGCCAATATTGGTGTATCGAGCTGGGGCGTTTGCGTGTTCCTGGAAATTCAGATAGATGTCAGTGGAAACCTTAAAACAACTGGACTCAAGCCAGCATTTAGAATCAAAAGCTGGCTTCTCGGTGCTGAGTGTTCTACTGATGCTTCTGGCTCACACCCGCGGGAGTCAGGTGTGTCCACACCCGCTCTAGCCCAGGTGGAAGAAGCCAGCGCCGTGGCCTGTGCCCAGGGACACCACCCCCACCCCGCACCCACGCCAGCAAGTCTACCCGAAGGTGGAAGGTGAGGGCGGGGCGCCGGGAAGCCAGCCTGCTGTGCGGCTCCAGGAGGGAACGCTGCACTCACCTGAGAGCGCCAAGGCTTCGGCAGACCTTATGCTTGGCTCTATGGGGATTCCTGGGGCCTGGGACTCAGGCGGGGCACAAGCATAAAAGGTTCCTGTCACCTGGCAACCTGCATTCGTAAATAAGAGTCAGATGATGTCTAAACAGAGTCCATCCAACCAAGACGCAAGGGAGGTCTCCTCTCCCTGGGTTGTGGCCGCTGAGCCCCCGGGGACGCACCAGCCCTGGGAGGGAAGCGCCAGGGGCCCTGCGGGGAAGACTGGGGGCATCCTCCAGGGGCAAAGAGAAGCCGAAGCCCAAATCGGGAAAACACAACACTGAAAGAGGAAGGAGGCTTTTCAGAGCCGCGGAAGGAAACCTGGAACCATCCCTCTGTAAGTTTTTCTCTCTCGTCTTAAACTCAGCGAGCACCTCCGTCACCTCACATAATCACCCTGTGCGTGTGCTACGTCGGGGGGATACTCAAGCTCTGCTCTCCTACGGCTTTTAATACGATGCAGTATTGCGGACTGTCGTCACCATGGGTGTTCGGGTCCCCAAGGCTCACTCGTCCGATAGCCGCCAGTCCGTACCTGTGAGTGGCGTCCCTCCGTAACTACCCTGACCAACAGGATGACCCAGGTCAAGGAGATCTACCCTGTCCTGTCCACACAGCGGGGTCATAGGAGAGCTGAGAGCTCAGGTCTGCCTGAGTTCCAATGCCAAAGGGCCCAATCAAAAACTTACAAGTTGTTCACACCACATTTATCTAGCTCTCTATTCCTGGGCTCAGGAGCAAAACCGAACCATGCGCCTTGGCTGCCCAGTAGCTGCAGGTCACGTTACACAATAACGGAGAAAGAATATGTAATAGGACACGGTTTTGGTGGCACCTCATTTGCTGTCAACTATGCCTCCACGCCGAGTGTGCCAATCCCATATTTCCATAGAGTTCGAGGCATTGCCCTGTTACTGAGGTTCTTATTCAACAGGGCCCGATGCACTAGACACAGGTGTGAACCTCAGCAAGCAGTTCCAGGGGGGCCAACTCCTCCACGGCGGGATGGAAAGCAGCCTTTGTTGCAAATCGCTCTTGAAATGCTAGTGCAATCAAATTCTGGGCTTTTCTGGAAACTTGCCACTGAACGTGAATCTCAAATCCCATAACGCCAAAACCGACTTGAACACGATCAGTAAAAAGGGAGCTGACCACATTGCGAAGAACCCAGTACTTCTAGAACACACAGAAGGATCTGATCCTGACCCGCTCGGGATTCCTACCGAACCACCTAACTCCGAGTCCTGGAAGCTTGTGCTCCGCTCGGTACACCGTGAGGTTCTCTCTGCAGGGTTAACTGGTGCTTCCGCGGAGACATCTCACCTCGACGTCTGGGGAGCTCCTCCGGGCAGAGGACCCCAAGCGCCCGGGGTAGGCGAAGCTCTGGACCCGACACCTCTGTGGGCTTTTCTCTTCTTAGTATTTACTCATTGCATTCGTACTATCACTTCTAGCCCCCAAATCACTCTGATGGGCACCGCATCGGGGTAGGTGAACTCCCGGCCCTGTGGGGCTCGAGCTCCTGAGCTCAGGATGGAGAGCCACATGCTCCACGTGCTGAGCGGCCGGTGGCCGGGGGGCGCAGTCGGCTCCTGGGGTCCCGAAGGGGAGGGCCCGGCACAGCTGGAGCATCCCCACTTAGGGGCGGCCAGAAAGCAGCAGAGCAGCGAGGCCATTGGTCCCGTCAGCATTCGGGACAGTCCAGGGGGAAGGCTGACCAAATCTATCACTTTTCGCCCAAGATTATTTAGGGAAGATGAAAGATGCTAACCTATCAGACAGAGAACTCAGGAGACAGAGCCAACCAGCCTGACGTCTGAGACCCCCTGGCTTCAACGAAAGGCTGGGTTCGGGGACCCGAGGTCGAACTCCAGCCCCTCACTTTTCACTGGGTAACTTTGGGCATTCCTTACGTGGTGCGATTTTGCCTCAAAAACAGCGGGGCAGTTTGTAGCTGCCTGGGTTAGGTCTCTGCAATGTTTATTTTCTTGTTTTTATGTATTCATTCATTTATTTTGACATTAGTGCCCCCTTTCATTTTTTCTGCAATGCTTATTTTTTTAAGAATTTTTTAAAAAAGATTTCTATTCATTTCCTTGGGAGAGAGAAGCAAGAGAGTGCAAGCGGGGGGTGAGGGCAGAGAGGGAGAAGGGGGCCCCCCACTGAGCAGGGAGCCTGTTGGGCCTGGTCCCAGCCCAGCGTGAAGGGAACCAGGGCAGACCCTAACCGAGTAAGCAGCAGCCACCCGGAACCATGCCTGTGATGTTTAAATAAGGTCTCGCATCAGGCGGTTGGCAGCCAGGTGCTGGCACAGGTAGGCCAGGTGTCAGCAAGCCTTGGAGCGCCTCCCCTTTCCAGGCTGCAGGAGGGAGACCACCCTCTCTCCCTCACTGCGCGGGAGAAGGGCAGGAGCCGGGGCAGCGCCCGGGGAAGGGTCGGGGGAGGCCGGGGCCCCGGGCCAGGTGTGCTCTGCTGCACCCCTTACCGTTTTCACAAGCCGGACCCTGCCAGTGGTGGCCGCGGGATCCAAATGTCACCGGACACTGATACGGGATCTCCGCGTGGGGCTGATCGGGGATGTACTCCCTCCAGCCTCGCTCGTGGGGAGGCATCATGTAGTTATGAACCTGCTAAAGGAATATGAGGGCGCGGCTGAGACGAAAAGCCACCAGCCGGGCAGGGACCAGCGGCTGCCCTGCGCGAGGGGGGCCGATTCCTTTAATCAGCTCCCCGCAGAACCTCTGAAGTCACTCACAGCCGCATTGTTTTATCATCTCGAGAGACTCTGGAGTGAAAAGCTCATCACACTAGGTGGAAAGTAGCCATAAAGACTCAAGAGGCACAATGAAGACAGTGTTGTAAGGAACGATTTGTCTAAAGCTTCGTCATATGGCTGAACCTGGCACCAAAAGTCCTGCAGGGAAATCTGCTTTCTCCTACCCACCAGAGTGAAGCAAACAGAGCCGTAATTCACATCAGAAAAGTCTGAAGAGATCAGCTGCCCTGTGGTTTCACATGATAAAGCGCTACTTCCAAAAATTTCATCTCCCCGAAAAGATCTGTTTCCCAGATTTCAGAATCGGGCGAAATCTGCGCTAACGGGCAGACGCGTTCGCCTCTCCTCTCCTGAAAACCAGCACCGAGAGCAACACCAGGTGGGAAGTGAGACATTCGTCCCATGATTGGGGACTGGGTTCAGCTGGTTGACTAATAACAAAAACAAAGTGCTGCTGTTTTTGTTTGTTCACTTTTCCTGCTGCGTGGGGCCCGCTGGCTCACGTGGCCTCGCCCAGACCCAGCCTCCCCTTCCAGGAGCCCGTACCCTCAGCTGTACCTGCGCTGGCAGCGAGGTGTAGGGAGCCGTCATGGTGTAGGGGTGGCTCATGGTCATCTGCGGGTCCTCCAGGGTGAGCTGCTTTGCTCCTATGCGTTTGGGCCAAAGGCAAATGGCAGAGTGTGAAAAAAGGAACTGTCACAAGTAAAAGTGAAATCTTAGAAAAATGCATGAGAGTTTAATTCCTAGAAGGCATAACGGTGTTGACAAATAAGACAGTTTTTCAGCAATTCCCACCGGCGATTATGTGCTCAGGCCCTTAAAGTGATTTCTGCGAGGTCTGACTTATGTAGGACAGGTAGGGAGGGAGCTGGTACGCCGCGTGTGAGTGCACCTAGTCACACGCAGGGGCCCACCAGCAGGATGTGCCACAGGTGGAGTCATCTGTCTGATTTGTGTGAAATGCAGATTCTTGAGCTCTACTCTGACACGCTGGTCAGGAACTTGGAAAGAGAAGACCCGGATTTCAATAAGCATCCCAACTGGCCACAGTATACTCTAAAAATCGGCATTTTTATTACTACGATTAGTAATACTACCTGCACGCTTCCTTTCTATAGAATGGTCACGTGAAATACCGATAAGTAAAGATAAAACTTTGAATGGATTTTCCTTTTTTTTTTTTTTTTGAAAAAACGGGCCCATATCTGACACCAGTAGAAATAACTGAGAAACATGCGCGCACGTGGATGTGCATACGCCTGCGGGCAGAGAGCTGGAATCTGAGAAGTTATCCCACACTAGCACAGGAGCTTCAGTTCATGGCCCTGAGGATTTGGGCAAAGAGCCTGTTGGGCTTGAACATGAGGCAGGAGGCAGGCAGGCTATAAAAAAAAAAGAAAAAGAAACAGAAAGAAAAAAGAAAGAAAGAAAGAAAGAAAGAAAGAAAGAAAGAAAGAAAGAAGAAAGAAAGAGAAGAAAGAAAGAAAGAAGAAAGAAAGAAAGAAAGAAAGAAGAAAGAAGAAAGAAGAAAGAAAGAAGAAAGAAAAGAAAGAAAGAAAGAAAGAAAGAAAGAAAGAAAGAAAGAAAGAAAAGGGAAAGGAAAGATGAGAAAAACCGACCTTCAGAATGAGATTGAGGCCTCAAGGGTGTCAGGCTGCCCATGTTCCGTACCCCAGTCTAGGAAGTCCCACCTTTTTTGGCGCCCTCGGGCACAATCCTGTACACTTTGTAGGGGTCCGAGATGTCCAGCTGGCTCCTCTCCACCAGCTCCTCAAAGTCATTGCTCTTGTTCAAAGCGCATCGTAAGCGCGTCTTCCAGGTGGGAGGGTCGGGCTTGTCTATGCCTTCTCGGAACTTTCCTTTAAATAGTGCCCAAGCCTTGTGGGAACGAAGGGAGGAGGCAAAGTTAAAATACAGGTGTTTTTTTTAAATAATAAATTTATTTTTTATTGGTGTTCAATTTGCCAACATACAGAACAGAAAAAAAAAGATCCTGAGAATTGTATTTCTAAAGGGAAGAATGAGGCTTCTGCGATTTACACACAGGACAGAAGCCCAGCAGGTGTCCTCCTGGTGGAGTAGTTTCAGCTTTGGGCTCTATCAGGGCTTCCCGGAGGTCTGGGTGCTTAGGGAGGGTGGGGAGGGGCGAAGAGCACCTGGGCCCTGGTCACTGCATCTGCTATGCGCTGCCCCGGAGCTGGGGGGGGGGCTGTGGGGGGCAGCGGGGGGGGGGCCTGCAGGGGTGGCTGGAGGGTGGCTGGAGGGTGGGCTGCAGGGGAGGCTGCAGGGGGGTTGGGGGGGCTGCGGGGGGCAGCAGAAGGCCTGCGGGGGGGGGGGTTGCGGGGTGGGCTGCAGGGGAGGCTGCAAGGGGGCTGCGGGGTGGGCTGCAGGGGAGGCTGCAGGGGGGCTGGGGGTGGGCTGCGGGGGAGGCTGCAAAGGAGGCTGCAGGGGGGACTGCGGGGGCTGCGGGGGGGGGCAGGGGTGGCTGCGGCCGCGGAGGCTCAGACCCTCCAGGGACTCCCCGCGGAGTCCCCAGGCCGCCGCGCTCCGCCTGCAGGTGTCGGGGCGGTCCCCGAGCGCAGGTCGCTGGGCGCCCTGGGGTCATCCCACCCCCACACTCAGACCCAGACCAGGCCCGGAGGGAGACCTGGAAGGAGGGAGTCAGAGGGACGCGGAGATAGGGACGCGCGGGGAGGGGAGGGGGGAGCGGGGAGGCCACACGGGGGAGGGGGGGAGTCTCCGGGGACCACGCGGCCGGGGCGGGAGGACCGGCCCCAGCACCCCCCGCCCCAGGGGGTCAGGCGGGGAGGGATGCGCCCCGTGACCCCGCGCCCCCGCGCCCCCGCGCCCCCGCGCCCCGCCCCACCTTGAAGAGCGCCGCGTCCTCCTCGCGGTTGTAGTCCTGCTTGCCCGCGTGCTTCCAGGGGATGCGGAAGATGCTCTTGTCCTCGTTCTCCCACACGAGCCCCGGGTACTTGCCGCTGTCGATCTGGTCGATGAGCCACTGGCGGAGCTTCCCGTTGCCGCAGCTCACGGCGCTCATGCCGAAGTCCCCGCCGCGGCCGCCGCCCTCCAGGTTCATGCCCCGCCGCGCTCCGCCGCCGCCTGCCCGCGCCCCGACACCCGGCGTCAGCGCCGCACCCGCACCCGCACCCGCACCCAGCACCCAGCACCCGGCACCCGGCCCCGCGCAGACGCCCGGCACGTGGGGCGCCCGCCGTCCGTGCGCTCCAGGGGCCCGACCTCCCCATCCCGGTCCCCCCGGGCCCCCCAGGCCCCCCCCCCGGGCCCGCACCTGCACCGCCCCGGGGGCCCAGCCGCGCACCGCACCCCACCGAGGCCCAGCTCCCCGGGGACACGGGCCGAGGAGCCGCGAGGTCCCAGGGCCCCCCCAGCCCCCCCGGCAGCCGCGGAGGCCCCGCTGACCTAGGACCCCTCGGGACCCCCCTCCCCGGGCCGCGGACTGGGACCCTTCGTCCTGCGCGGAGCCCCCCGCAGCCCCTCGGCCGCATCCCGCCCCCCGCGTGGCCTCCCGGGCCCGGGCTGAGCCGGGGCGCCCTCCGCGGAGCAGGGTCCCCGGGATGGGGACCGGGGATGAGGCCGGGGATGGGGGCCCGCGGGGCCGGGGGCCGGGGATGGGGGCCGAGGATGAGGGCCCGGGCCGAGCCGGGCGCCGTCCGCAGAGGGTCCACGAGATGATGGGTCAGGGGATGCGTCCCCGGGATGGGGGCCGCGGGGTCGGGGCGCGGGGAGGTGAAGGGGCCGGGACTCTGCGAGGCGCCGTCCGCAGCAGGGCCCCGGGATGGGGCCGGGACGGGGCCGGGACGGGGCCGGGGCCGGGGTTCGGGCCTCCCCAGGACGCGCTCCCTCCAGCCCCCCCCCCGCGCCCCCGCCCCGCCGCGACCTTACCTCGCCCCCGACTCGGCGCTGAGGCCGCGCTGGTCCCAAGTTCAACTGGTGAAGCCGAGTAAGTGTCGAGGTGGGAAAGAGGAACTTATAAAGCTTAAAAGCCCGCTGGGGCGGAGCCGGGGGCGGAGCTGGGCGGGCAGCGCGGCGCGACCTGGGTCGGGGTGAGGGGGCGCTGCCGGCGGGGACGGGGCGCCGCGGGGGAGGACGGGCCGGGGCTGCGGGAGCGCGTGGCAGGGGGGGGCGGGGGCACGGGGGGCGCCGAGGGACGGGGGGTGCTGGGGGGACGGGGGATGCTTGGGGCACGGAGGGGGCTCTGGGTTCACTGGGGGCTCTAGAGACACGAGGGGCGCTGGGCCCACGGGGGGCTCTGGGCGCACGGGGGGCGCTGGGGACACGGGGGGCTCTGGGCGCACGGGGGGGCTCTGGGCGCACGGGGGCTCTGGGCGCACGGGGTGCGCTGGAGACGGGGGGATCTGGGCGCACGGGGGTGCTGGGCGCACGGGGGCGCTGGAGGGGACCCCGTGTGCCGGGGGGACCCCGTGTGCCGCGGGGACCCGGTCCGCTGTGCCCCGGGCAGGTCCGGCACTGCGCGGGGAGAGCGCACCTGCAGCAGGCGGGCGGCGGGCCCCCCGCGGGAGGCTTCCTGCCCAGGGCGGGGCGCGGAAGGGGACCTCGCTGAGCTCTCCTGGCGGCTCCCGGAGGCCGCGCGGCGAGGGCGGGAAGTGGGGCCCGGTGCAGGGGACCTCACCTGCACAGCTTGCACCCGAGCCGGAGCAGCCGCGGGGGCGCCCCCCCCCTCCCGGGATGCAGCTGGCGCCGCGAGCCCCCAGGAGCTGAGAAATCGGGAGGGAACTCGGGGGTCCCCTGGAGCTGGGCAGCGCCTCGGAGTCCGTCTGCGAGGTGGAAACGCTCCCAGACCTCTGTGTCCATTAAAGCAGGGTCCCCAGGTGATGCGCTGCCCCCCCCCACCCAGTTAAGGCAGCAGGAGGGCGGGGGGGGGGGTGTCTGCAAGCGCCCAGCCCTGGGCTTCAGTTCACCTTGAAATGACCCCGCCTAACCTCAGTCCCGCAGGAAGCAACTTGCTGGTGGGGCTTGGATGTCCGGGAGAAGAAGAGCATTTGAAAGGACCTGCGAGTTTCCTTAATTTCCCCAGATGTCCTTAATATTCAAGTGAAGTGCCTGTGCATCTGCCCGCTGCGCTTTCAGCAGAGCATCTGGGATGCTTCCAGCATGTTGGTGCACTTAGCAATTTCAGGTAAACCGTCAGATCACCGGTTTCTATATGATTTTAGACCACCACCAGCCTAGGTCAATTTGCGACTTTTGAAAAGCTTTTGATTTCACTTACCTCTCAGTTTTTCTCTTTTGAACTCACGTGTCGGCTCCATGTCTCCTATCCAAAGGAAAACCTGAGTTTGGGCGACAGCAAAACAGGCGGTGATGCGCGGCTTAGGTCCGCCTTCCCTGACCCTAACGGACTTTCTCAGAAATTAACAGGATGCTATATTTTTATTCACCCAAGCAAGTTTTCCATTATCAGAGTCTGTGTTATAAACAACAAAGCTTTGTTCAGAGAAAACTCTAGTCACAACCCATTTTTCTTCCTCTCTTCTCCTTTCACAGATTCATTCATTTAGCAGACTTTTTTGAGCAACAGCTGCACGTCACAAACTACTGTAGGCACTTGGGTCACCCAAGTGGACACGGCAGACACCACCGCCTTCGCGTTGCGCCACGTCCTGATCAGTAGCTTCCTTTCTCCAGAGGGTTCTCAACACATAGAAAGAGATTGCTAAAAACAAAAATGGCAAAGGAGCTTTTTGCACTTTCCTCCACGTGTCTTCTGCAGTAGGTTCAGTTAGTTTCAGCATTTTTTTCACTCATCTAGAAGAAAACAACAGTCATTGTATGAAACTTTCGGAGACTTCACATCAGCCTTGCTTTATTTATTTTCTTGTATATATATATATATATATTTATTGGAGTTCGATTTGCCAACATGTAGTATAACACCCAGTGCTCATCCTGTCAGGTGCCCCCCCTCAGTGCCCATCACCCAGGCACCCCGTCCCCCCCGCCCACCTTCCCCTCCACAACCCTTAGTTTCCCAGGGTCGGCGTCTCTCCTGTTCTTCACTCTCTGATTTTCTCAGCCTTGCTTTACAATGTGATTGCTCAGTGTGGGACCCAATCCCCGGACAGGGCCATAGGCAGACGCTCAACCACTGAGCCAAAAAAAAAAAAAAAAAAAAAAAGAATGTGATTGCTAATCTTCAACGCCATCTTCTGGCTTACTCGTTTGTCATATTGATTTGCTAGAAGTGATTTTTTTTTGTTTTAATGATGAGATGAATACAAAGAATGATATATCTTAAACATATAAAAAACAAATGATATATTCTGAACACTGAAGCTCTTGACATCCTCATTAACCCGGGGAAGGGGACGAGTAAACAGGTAGGAGTTGCCAATTACTCACCAAAGACTTACATCTTAGTCATAGTTGAAGCAAAAATGACAACAATTTTTAAGTTCAGCCTTCCCCCCACACACAGACACACTCACGTAAACTAAAGGGTTCTTGGGTAACAGAAGAACTAGACATTTATCTCCAAATGTCACAACCTCTTAAACAGTGAAGACACATAGAAAATCAGCCAATTGAGTGTCCATCTGAAACAGAAGCTGATCGTTGTATGCTGTGAGGAGGCTACGTGAGGAGGCAAGTGGTCCAGAAGCTGTGAATGGGGCACAGTCTGCAGGGAGCAGTGCAATTTCCCATTTACAGTATCATGAAAAGACTGTAAGACAGGCTAAATTTACTTACATTCAGTATGTTGAGAAATCAGTCTTTTAAAATTATACATTCATATGCAAGAAAAATATTTTTAAATTTTATTTGTTTATTTGAGAGAGAGAGAGAGAGAGAGAGAGAGAGAGCATACGTACGTGAGAGAGAGGGGCAGGGGGATGGAGAAGCAGGCCCCCCAGTGAGCAGGGAGCCCGACGCAGGGCTCCATCCCAGGACCCCGGGATCTCAGCCTGAGCCGAAGGCAGATACTTAACCAACTGAGTCACCCAGGAGCCCCGATACAAATATTTCTTAAAACTCATACTAGAAACAGAAAGTAAAACATAGGAATCTGGTTTTTGACAAAGTCATTTTCTCACTAATTTATTTTTTAAAGGGTGCGGCACTACAATTAGTTAAAAAGCAATACAACTATATCCTTGAAAAAGTTGAGAGGGCGATTAATTATAATTACTGGTAAACATCAGGAAAATACTGAAAATGTCTTGTGATGATGTAGAATCATACAGGATAAATATCTCCTCTTGGGCAGTTTGTGAATGTTAAATACTACTATTAACCACGCATTTTGTAATGCGGTATTATCATGCTCTTATTATTATAAATAGTGATACTATGTATTATATTAGTGCTATTAGATGACTCCATACATCTACATGGTGTCACTATGTGTTACAGTATGTAGTCCTAATGATATTATGTGGCAGCATCGCAGGTCTCGTGGAGTAACGTACAATATACGTAGTAACATAGTAACAGGCCCTGCCCGATGCACTCTGCCATGTGCTATAGTAACAGACGGCCGTACTGCAGTACAACACTATAGCGTGATCACAGGATAGCACTACTGACAATTAAGTGCTCAAGTAGGAGGGTCAGCTAGGTCTGGTTCAAATCCCTGAGGTCTTGGGTGGACTATTTTTTTTTTAAGATTTTCTTTATATATTCACGAGAGACACAGAGAGAGAGAGAGCGAGAGGCAGAGACCCAGGCAGAGGGAGAAGCAGGGTCCCTGCGGGGAGCCCGACGTGGGACTCGATCCCGGGACCCCAGGGTCATGCCCTGAGCCCAAGGCCGGTGCTCCACTGCTGAGTCCCCCGGGGCGCCCCTGGGGTGACCTATTTAGCCAAAGTCTAAACCTCACATGTACAGAGAAGGTGCCGGCTCTCTTGCTGCGCTAACGTGTGCCGGGCCGAGGAGGAGGAGCGGCTCTGCCCAGAGCTTGGCTTAACCCCAAGTGTTCAACAAACTGGGTCCCTTATCATCATGTCGCGCTTCAACATGAAGGGTTTCCTAGACTTTATCTCGATCTCGCAGCCGAATCCGCGCAGTGAGGGCGGCGATATGCACCCCATTGTGCAGATGAGGAGGGAGGCCCACCGAGATCCCAGGGGTTGGCCCAAGGCCACGTTCTGACCGAACCGACCCAGTCCTTTCCCTTGGGTACAGGTATTTAGCGGCCTGTCGCGTTAATATTTCAGGATCAGCCTCTAAGCACCCGCCTGTCAGCCCACAGGGGGCATTTTCCCTTCAGTTGGGTGCTCGCTGCTTAGGGCAACGTGGGGGAGACACAGCCTTCCCGACCCTGTGCCCCTCGTCTGTGAACTGGAGGTCGGCAGCGTGCAGCCGCTGAACCTTGCTCCAACCCCAAAGTAACTGCTGTCTTATTTCTGCTCAAACTTAAAACCGTTAACGACAGCCCAGTGGCCTTTCTGGTTATGGCGAATTCTGAATAAGAAAAGTTGTGTCTCGTTTCGTTGCGTTTTTTTTGTTGTTGTTGTTTGTTTTGTTTGTTTGTTTGTTTGTTTGTTTTTGTTTTCCGTTTCATTGTGTTTTTACGTCATGGCCCTAACCACTGATCTCCATCCGTCCTCACAAAGCTGTATTCACTTGGAGGAAACTGGAGGAAACGGGTGCTGCTTCTCAACCTCTAACCGCAAGTATTCAGTCCTTTGGGGGAAAAAGATTCTAAACTTACAAGCAACCCATACAGGAGAGGAGTCGGGATGGAATACTCTGGAAATGAAATGATACGTTAAATGCTTTCACCGAACTTCCAGTGGAAAGAGATTGTATCGGTCTTTCTTCGTAAAAAGAGAAATTCGAATGCCACTGTGGTGTAGAAACGTGATTATTTTCTCATGCAGAGTCGCGTACTCTTTCCTAATTTAATGTGCAAAGTGCCCAGAGCCTCCTCAGGGAAGGAAATTCGCAGAGTTCCCTCCATCA